TCCAAAACAGACTTTTATGTTGGGCCATTTGACAAAATCTTGATCAATGTAAAAGTAATGAAATCATACAAAGTAATAAAATTAGAAATCAATAACAGAAGAAAACGGTGAAATTTCACAAATAAGTGGTAAACAACAAACTCCTGAATAACCAGTGGGTCAAAGAAGAATCCACAAGGGAAATTAGAAAACGCTCTAAAATAACTGAAAATGAAAACAATATGTAGAAAAAACTTATACGGGTCAGTGGTAGAGTAAGTGCTTAGCATAAGCAAGGTCCTGGGTTTAATTCCTGTACCAAAAACAAAGCAAAACAAACTTATGACAGAGAAAGCAGTGTTGAGAGAAAAATTTATAACTGTAAAATGTTTCAAAGGAATAAACTAGACTTCCACCTTAAGAAATTAGAAAAATGAGAACAAACTATTACCAAAGCAAGGAGAAGGAAGAAAACAACAAAGGTGAAAGTGGAAATTAATGCAACACAGAAAAATGATGGAGAAAAATTAATGAAACTAAAAACTGGTCTTCAAAACTATTAACAAAATTGACAAATCTTTAGCTATATGGACCAAGAAAAAAAGATTTGAATTAATAAAATCAGAAATGAAAGATGAAGCTGGGTGTGGTGGTGCAGGCCTGTTATCACAGCAATTTGAGAGGCTGAGGCAGGAGGATCATGAGTTCAAAGCCAGCCTCAGCAACTTATCAAGGCACTTAGCAACTCAGCAAGACCTCTTCTCTAAATAAAATACACAAAAGATCTTTATACAAATGGATCTATATAAAATATTATTTTTTGGTCTGACTTTTGCCATTCAACATTAAATTTCAGAATGCTAAAAAAAAAAAAATACACAAAAGGGCTGAGGGTGTGGCTCAGTGGTTAAGTGCCCCTGGGTGCAATCTCTGGTACAAAAAAAGAAATGAAAGGTGGCTTCAATAATGTGTCTTTTTTAAAAAGTTAGAAGAAAGGATTTTGAATGTTTTCATCATAAAGAAATGATAAGTGTTTAAGTAGGTAGATAGGTTTAACCTGACTTCAATCAGGATACCACTACTTACCTTACAAAATAAAAACTATTAGGAATACTATGAACAAGTGTATGCAAAAATTAGATAATGAAATGGACAGATTTCTAGAAAGACACAAATTGTAATAAATGGCATAGGAAGACAGAAAAATCTGAATATAGTAGATAACAAATCTATTATTTATATCTACAAGTATCTATAAGTCTGAATATATGACAAATAAAGAAATTCAACTAGTAATCAATAATCTTCTCACAATGACATTCTCAGGCCCAGAAGGATTCACCATGGAATATATCAAATATTGAAAGAGATAACACCGATTCTTTATAAACCCTTCCAAAATATAGAAGAGGAGGGGACACTTTTTAACTCAGTCTATAAGGCCAATATTACCCTGTCACCAAAACCAAATAAGTCACAAGAAACAAAAACTACAAACATACCTTATTAATATCAACATAAAAATCCCCCCAAAAAAACAACATAAATCATCAAAGGGATACATATCCCTAACATGCAATGTTGGCTCAGCATACAAAAATCAACCAAATATATCAATTAACAAAATTAAAAAAAAAAAAAAAGCCACATGATCATCTCAATCTTTGCAAAAAGAGTAATTGACAAAATCCAACATCCTTTCATAATAAAAACACTCAATAAACTTAAAGGCAAATTTCCTCCATGATAAAGGGTAACTATGAAGAACCCACAGCTAACATCATACTAAATGGTCAAAGATTCAAAGCTCTCCCCCAGGATTAGGAAAAACACAAAAATGTCTCTTGACACCAATTCTGTTCAACATTGGGATGGGGTTCCAGCTAAACCAATTAGGCAACAAAAGAAAATCCTGATAGAAAGAAATGAAGTAAAATTATCTCTATTTAAAGATGACATGCATATAGAAAATCCTAAGTATTCCACAAAAAATATTAGAGCTAATGCAAACAAGTTCAGCATGGATGCAGGATACAAGATCAGTATGCAAAAATCAGTTATATTCCCATACACTAGCAATGAACAATCCAAAAATGGAACTGAGAAACCAATTTACAACAGCATCAAAAAGAGCAAAATACTTAGGAAAACACTTGGCAAACAAGTACAAGACTGTACACTAAAAACTTCAAAACATTACTAAAAAAATTAGAATAATTGGAATTTCTCAAAACTAAAAACTTCATATTTCTAAGACACTATCAAGAAAGTGAAGAAAGGCTGGGGATATAGCTCAGTTGGTAGAGTGCTTGCCTTGCATGCACAAGGCTCTAGGTTCAATCCCCAGCACCACAAAAAAAAAAAAAAAAAAAAAAAGAAGAAGAAAGTGAAGGAGAGCTGGGGTATATAGCTCAGTGATAAACGCTTGCCTAGCATGTACTAGGGCCCTAGGTTCAATCCCCAGGACTGCCCCTCCCCCGAAAAAAGTAAAAAGATCTCACTGAAATTGCAAACTTCATTAGGTAATAGCATCATATATATATATAATATTTTTACACATATATAGTATGTATATAGAAAGAACTCTTACATCTCTGTAATAAAAACCCCAATCCCAATAGTCAACATAATAAGAGGGCAAAGGATCTTAATTAACATTTTCTCAAAGATATACAAATGTCAAATTAGCAAATGAAAATATGCTCAACATCATCATCCTTCATTAGGGTAATGCAAATCAAAACCACAATGACATACCACTTCAAGCCCACAAAAACAACTATAATCAAAAAGATAGACAAAAATAAGTATTGGTAAGAATGTGGAAAAAGTGGAAACTTTAAACATTTCTGATGGGAATATAAAGATACAGTGACTTTGAGAAATCCCTCAAAAGTTAAATCTAAACCTAAGAGTTACTATGTGATTCGGCAGTGCAACTCCTAGGAATATACCAAAGACTGATAGGGAACAGACAGACATTAGTGGTGGGAACATGAGGTTAAGGGAATAATTCTTTAAAGTAGGCCCATTATGCTGACCTCCACATGTTTTCACTTTTGAAAAGCAGCCCTACCTAGCTTAAGGCAACAGGATATGTTACATTCCTAAGGAGCTTAATTAACATTTTCTGTTATTTGCAGAAGAAATGCAGGTCTGAAATAATGCCAGTAAAAAGAACATAAGTTACCCTGAAGGAGGGGACTTCTGTGACCTTTACACAGACCAAATCCCAGAGAGATAAGGGAAATTCTCCTTACCATAAAATCTGTAAAAACAGGTTTCAATTAAAACCAGTCAGCATGAGCCAAAGTGACTCAGAGCTGTCATACCAGTGGGGACTTCAAAGTCTAATGTCATCCTGCTGTCAGTCAAAAGTCAAGAGGCAGATTTGGGAAGGACTCTGTGGAAACTTCCCTAAGGAACCCCAATAAAACTCGAAGGCAGGAGAGGCACACTGTCCCCCTCCTCTCTGAGAGATCCACTCTCTCCCTAGACAGTGTTCCCATTTTCCCTTTCCCATTCCTTTGAATAAACTCATGCCTATTACTCTAAGTAACATGTCTAAAATCTTTCCAGCATGCTTGCAAGAATTAGGGTTTGAAGGGGAGCCTTCATGCTGCTCAGTTTCCCAAAAGACCCCAGACCTGTAACAGAAGGACTGAAATACACATTCACATAAAAACTTAACATATTATAGTAGTATTATTTCATCATAACCAAAATACTGAAAAAAAAACAAATGCCCATCATCTAATGAATGGATAGTCAAGATGTGTCATATCCCTCTAACTGAACATTATTCATCCATAAAAAAAGAATGAACTACTGATACATGCTGTAACATTATACTAAGTGAAAGAAGTTAGTCACAAAAGACTACATACAGCATTTATATGAAATGTCCAAAGCAGGGATTTCCATAAAGAGAAAGTAGATAATGGTTGCCAAGGGCTGGGAAGAAGAACAAATGGAGAGTGACTATTAATGGGAGGGAATTCAGATTTTTCTTGGGAGTGATGAAAAATGTTCTGAAATTAGTCAGTTGTGATGATTGTACAACTTTGTGAATACACTTAAAAGAAAGAAATCAATGAATTATATGCTTTTAAAAAAGAAAAGGCACCTTCAAAATTCTGCATGATTATTTTCAACCTTTCCATGTATGAACTTAATACTTAAATACATGCAGGCAGAGCAGCACCTGTGGCTGGGAGTGAGGGGACAAGTATTCCATTAATGTCTTGATGCTCTAACTCCTAGGCTACTATAACAGAAAGCTAATATTTGCATTTAAGATGTGGAAAATTTCAGAAATAGTATTATCAGAATACTCCTCAGAAATACAGCAATAACTACCAGAAGAAATAACTCAAAGACTATCTGAATTATGAGGCCAACAAATGGCCAGGAACTAACCTGTCAGATTTTTATATTCTCCACATTTTACGTAATTATTTTAAAAACAAAAACACTATCATGCTCTTCTTCCGATAACTGGATTATCGGAACACTGTAATGGAAAGGCCTGACACTGAGATCAGAGGACTGAATTTCATATCCCATGGCATCGGTTTCCTGTGTGATCCTAAGCTAATCACTCTTACCTTCCTCATCTTTAAAACTGCAGGTAAAATTACCTGTGTCCTAAATAAGGAGCTGTTACAAGAACCAGATAAAACAAAGCAAAAGGAGACTGAAAAGTTTGTTTAAAAATGAAAAAATATTTACTCTTTCCATCAAAATATAAATAACCAAATGTTTTTGATTTTGGTTATCAAAATAGATACTCATAATTACTACTGTCTGTCTCTAGGATTTACTTCAATTTGAACTACTTGGATTAGGGACCACACCGGAAATAAACTTCAAATAATTCTATAATCTGCCACATAAATGAAGCACTGTACTTATTATGTGTTAGAGACTAGATTTCTTTCCCCTGAGAGTAAATTAGGTCTGCTAGAAGCTATGTATATGGTTATCCTTGCATTCCTTTACATCAATTTGAAAAAAGTTACCTTTACAGTCAAATCCTCATTACCCAATGTAACATGAACTTGAACAGGGGGGTAAACACCTTTGTCAGCATGGTGTTCCATAGTTGCTCTCATTGCATTCTGAAATACATCAAGGGTATGTTAAGAATAAAACTTTTTTAAAAAAGAGAAACTATAATTTTCAAGTACATGTGCACTATTTGAATTTAATTCAAAGAATTATAATTCTTATAACCATAAAGATTACTTTAAAATTTTTTTGAGTCAATTTTGGGAGAAAGTTGAAGACTACTTTCATTTAAAGATTCCAACTAAATTCTGCACATTTTCCAAAAGTTGATTTCTAAATACTTTAAACTAGTTAACATTAAAGTAAGATTCCATCCACTTTCAGAATTTTAGTAAATACTAACCAAAACTTAGTTTTGAAAACTCAGTTACAGCTCTACTTTTAAGAATTCGTTTAATTCTTATAAATTTCTTTAAAAGAAAATAATTTTTTTTCATATAGTAGAAATGCCAATAGTCTTATAATAGCTTCCTTTATTGCAAGTTTGAAACTAAAGATATTTATATTGTAAAACTGTTTGACCAATTTCTAAAGGACATGAGGTACTCAACGCCAATACACTGTGAGCATTAAACACAAGTAACATGACACGTAGCACTGGAGTAGAAATTGATAAAGACTAGCTATAACTGCTACAGGTGTAGCTCAGGGATAGAGCACTTGCCTAGCACCTACGAGGCCTTGAGTCCAAAGCCCAATACTAGGGGTCGGGGAAGATACAACTAAAAAAAGCTAAAGTCGGGACTGAATTTGGAAGAGCATGTTGGCACTGGCACACCATTCAGGACTGAGTAGCCTGAGAAAGAGACTGCATTATCCCTATCCAAGGTAGCTCAAGAGGAGGTTCCAACAGAAAGCTATTGTCATTACTGGTATGATATAAAATACAGAATATGGAATGCTTCTCATATTAAGCATCATTGGTCTTCATGTGACTGAAATTTCAAGGAAAAGAACATTTTAACACTTTAAGTGTCAATCACACTTAACCACTTTGTTACATTCTGAAAGGTATTAGATGCGTTCTTACAGTCTCAGAACAGAAAAGCATTCTTGAACACTTGCTTTTCTGAGATATTCAGTCAATTTCTGTGTTTCAGTATATTTTTATTTTACATAATCAGACATAAAGCCACCTCTTCTCTATTCTGGTTGCTGATGGTTGCTGGTTGAAGACCTGGTAACTAAAGTAAGGCAAATACAGGCTTCTGACTTAGGGCAGCTGTCTTCAGCCACAGGAACCAGTGCCACTCATCACCCACTTTCATATCAATCAACAAGTGTCATTGGAGGAGAAAAAGAAATACCCTCAACTTTACCAGTATAATTTCATTTAGTTTTCAAATTTTGTTATAAGGAGCAAACATAATGTAGAAGCCTTGTGAGTCAATATGACTTAAAAGGCAAGCATACCAATGGGGCTCAAGGGTAGAAAAAAGATCACTCTTCTAAATATTTTGGTTTACAAAAACATGAATATAACTTTGTTAAGCACCTATAATGGGCTGTCGTTGCATTGGACACTTTCACATGTCCAATCTTCATAAATAATATTGATAGTATTATCCTTGTTTTACAGGAGAAGAAACTAAGAAGTTGAGTGACTTGCCCAATGTCACACATACTAAGTGGCAGAAGTGGAATTCAAACTCGGGTCTTTCTAACTCTGAAGTCTGAGCTCACCACTACCTAAAGGTGCCTGACCTTACTTACAAATGGCTGTTCTCCAGCAATGTGGCATGAAATGGCATCTTTTAATGAAATAGAACCCAGAGGAATATTTGACTTGCAGAGCAAATTCCTATCCTCAGGAAAGGACTGATAAAGGTTATGTAATACTATTTTACAAACCTTGAAAAGTTCAAACACCATGTGATAGAGATGGGATGGTACATAAACCACTTGTATTGGTTGTCCTGGTGATTTTGCTATAGAGCAGAAGAGAAAAATATGAAAGTACAGAGAGATGTGCTTAAAGCATTTTTAAGAATAAATTGTGTAGTGATGAAAAGAAAACATTAACTATGGAGGACAGTGTTATTTGGGGGAGAACTGCCACAATACTTCTAAATACTTCTTCACTGTATTAGTGTTTGAACCCCACACTCACTAATAGTGAAAACTGACAAAGACAAGAGTCCTGTGGTCATTTTTCACAATCTGGCATAATTATTTAACCAACCCATCCTCCCATCCTTCTCTATAACAGTAAGTCTTTTTAAAAGACCTCAACCTTTAGGCAGGAATTTTTCTTTCCAAAGAGTATTAAAAGTCTACAGATTCCATAGTCTCATTCATATAAATATATATTTTAAAACCATTTTCTAAAAGTTGCATTTGGGTGGAATGCTGTCTATTTTATCTCAGGCATTTATTTGTATGGAAATCCAGCTGAATAATAATAAAATAATAATCACAATCATAAAAAGTTAGCACCAGTTTCTCAAAGGGTAATAATTCTGCATTTGAACATTTAACAGGAGCAAGCTAGGGGTGGGGAAGGGAAACAAGTGTACCTAGAACAGACCTTTAGAAGAGTGAAGAAATGAGACACACCATGCTTTAGAATAATTCTACCAATAAATCAATTTTAAACTCAACTAATAAATCAGACTGTCCTCTGAATAAACTCCCCCTTGGGAACACGAATGGGATATCTGGAAACTGCCCACAGCAGTTCATGTTCCCAAACTATCATTTGTGCATTGAGATTCTTAATTAGTAAATGGCACATTGTGAATCAGAAGAATCAACATGGCTTTAGAAAACCACCAAGCAACTCTATTTTCAACTGGGCAATTTCTCCAACCATGCTCCCATTGTAGGGTCCAGAATATGGCTTAGTACAAGTCTATTTGATTTTATTTTTCCCACCATCTTCTTAAAATTGTCAGTCAAACTATCATACTTTCAGGAAAAACAGTGATACTCATTAATCTTCTAAGACATCTAAACCCTTTTTGTCCAAAAGAGTAAAAGACAACCATCAGAGAGAAAGTGATCTCAAATAGATGAGCATTGTTTGTTCCTCTCTTATATACCTAGTCTTTTCATTTCCTCAATTAAAAAAAAAAAGATTTACAAGTCAGGAAGTCAAAAAAAAAAAAAAGGGTAACCTTTACATTACTGAAAGCATACATAAAAGTCAAATGTAATTTTCCTGGCATCATTTTTTTTTTCTGACTATCCAGAAAATAAAATATAAGCAATATATCAATTAAAAATAAGGAAAATTGAACAGAAAAAGCCAAAACATTTTTCACAAAGAATCCAACTAAATTATATGTGTGTGTACACACTTGTATATATTTTATAGGATTGCTCTTCAGCTTTTATACCCAATGAAAAATTTAATGAAAAAAAATTTTTTTAAATTAAAACAAATATAAATTCTTCCTACAATTCCTTCTCAGTAGTCATGACACTAATCACTGAAAAGACAACATCATGCTTACCATTTAGTTCTTCAAGTTCTAGTTCAGGAGAGTTAATATAATACAAATCACAGAGACGCCTAGCATTTTCATAGCCATCTAGTGTAAATCAAAACAAAAAAATATTAAATAAATCTCCATAAGTTTCATGCATTAAGATGGCAACAATACTAACAAATGAAAATTTAAAACTCTCTATAGAAGAAAATAAACTTCAATAATCTTAGGGGGAAAAGCGTAACATGACAAAATCTAAAATCCATGAAGAAGAATGACAGATTGACTACAATAATTGAAAACATCAGGGCTGGGGTTGTAGCTCAGTGGTAGAGCACTTGCCTAGCACATGTGAGGCACTGGGTTCAATCCTCGGCACCACATAAAAATAAATAAATAAAATAAAGGTATTGTGTCCATCTACAACTAAAAAAATATTTTTAAAAATTTTAAAACATTAGTATGGAAGAAGATACCATAAACACATCAAAAGAAAAACAGCAGGTAAAGAAAATATTTATAATACACATATCAAAAATGAAGACTTTGAGGATTTTAGAAATAGGTATTCTTATTCATTGTTTGCTACCTTTTTTCTTTTGGATGTATCAAAAATTTAAATGCATTTAAGTATTATAATTATAGGAATCCTGCCTTATAACATACTAGCCAATGTCAGCATAAGGATGCTCACTGCAATATTGTTGGTAACAAAAAAAAAGAAAACCACCCAAGTGTGTATTAACAGGAGAATAGATTAATAAGATTAACACATACTGATAAATTCTACATAACCATTCAAGAACATAGGGTGGCCAGGCACACTGGTGCATGTCTGTAATCCTAGTGGCAAGGGAGGCTGAGATAGGAGGATTGTAAACTCAAAGGCAATCTCAGTAACAAGAAGGCACTAAGCAATTCAGTGAGACCCTGTCTCTAAATAAAATACAAAATAGGGCTGGGGATATGGCTTGGTGGTTGAGTGCCCTGAGTTCAATCCCCAGTACCATCCCCCGCAAAAAAAACAAAAAACACAAGAATTTAGGGTGTATCCATATGTATCAACATTGTAAGGTATCTATCTGTAAGCTTATAGAAAAATATATGGTATATCCTATATTCCACAAACAATAAAAATAGGCATGATCAACAATTTCATACATGTATGTACACATGATACAAAGAGAAAGAATATAAAAAGATGTAACCTAAAATGTTATGAATTATTGCTTCTAGAATAAAGAATTAAAAAGAAGAGAGTAGAGATTTGAGTTTTTTAAAGTGAAAAAGATAGATACCTTCAACAATATCACCAAACTTTGCTTAACAAAGACTTCTATCAACAAAACATTCATCCTATTCATAACACACAATTAATGTTATAAAGTAATTTTCAAACTCACACATTTGCTCCTAACATTTTGTCTCATGATAAAGTAATAGGTGTTTTAGTAGCAAGAAAAACATTCAACTATTTTGACTTTTATAACCTTTCAAAAGAAGAAATGCATTTACCTTTAATAACTTCCACTACATTGCAGTTTGGATTTATACTACCAATGTGTTTTCGATGAGATGGACTTCCTTTTCCACCAAACAATAAAGCTATCAAAAAATAAAAAAACAAGTAAGCAAATCTATCTAATTTTCCAGGTTTGATAACTATTTCTCCAAATGGTACTAAATAGAATAGCTATTTTCTTTAAGCGTAAAACTGGCATTTTACATTCAATAAAAATACTCCTTTTTAGTCTACTTACTTTTCTTAATAAGCAAAAAAGTGCAACTAAATGCTTTCACTAAAGGGCAGTTTTCTAAATGAATTTAAAATACTCAAACACACTTTATTCAGCAGCTTCTCTCAACTTCAGGACACTTACAGTGCTGATTTAGTAACATTCTGATTGAAATTCGACTCATGTAGAATCGATCCAAAAAGTACTGCACATTCTGGCTGGTGACAGGATCCACCCCGAAGCTCTCCTTGTATTCAATCACACCCTGGGCCATTGTGGGAATAACGTCGTTGTGTCGGTTTCTGATCCGTATCACAGTATCTGTGAAGCTAAAAACCTCAGTCTGTTAAAACAGCCAAATATATTGACAAGTGAGTTTAATACTAAAAAATAAGCTTGCCAGATGTGCGTGTACAACCAGAGAAATGAAGAGTTTAAAAAAATAAAAGGAAGGAAAGAAAAAAAAAAAGCTTGCCAGGTGTGGTGGGGCAAATCTGTAATCCTGGCAACTCAGGAGGCTGAGGCAGGAGGATTGCAAGTTCAAAGCCAGCTTCAGAAATTTAGCAAGGCCCTAAGTAACTTAGTGAGACCTGTCTCAAAATAAAATACCAAAGGAGCTGGGAATGTGGTTCAATGGTTAGGTGCCCTTGGTATCAAAAAACAAACATAACATCAAAGCTTAGCCAACTATAATAGACAAGAAATCCCTGGTCCAGTCAAAAGAGCTTCAATGCCTGTTTTCCTACACCTACTTAACCAAATTTCAGATCATAAAATATACTGAATCCATAAAGGTATGAGGACCTCTGAAATGAAATTTTCAAAATTTAATTCTTAGACTCCTAAAAGTAAGGCTGCCACACAACACAATTATAATTATTAAGAGTGTTCTTTAGTCATTATCAACTAAAATCATCTAAGCACTCTATAAGGATGGTATTCCAAGGAGATTCTGCATAAGGGGAGGCAGAGCACTTGCTTCTAGGGAGTACATGCTTTGTACAAAATCAAGATGAATGAACCAATGAAGGCTGTTGGGATTGGAACTATTCCCTAGAGTTCTAAGGGAGAAAGAACCACTTAAAACAGAATAGTAAACAAAACAAAACAAACCCTCTAATTTCATTCATCCTATGAGTCCATAAAATAGAAGAGGAAAAGTAGACCATTGTACTAAGGAAAAATCAACTCATACCGCCTTTCCATTTCTATCACTTAGGAGACACTGCATGATTAATTTCAGGAACCAAATAAAAGAGGAAAGCAGTCTTTATTATAAAATAACAAAATCAATCTCCTAACATACCCATCAGAATTTACACTTCCAAATGAGTGCTTTCCCATTCAGAGTCATCGCCTTGAGTACTATTAACTTATACCAATGATGTTCTTACTGCTCAAAACACTTCTGGAATTCCTTATTTGTAATCAGCTTTAAAATCAAACTATGAAGCCAAAATACAAACAACGAGGTTCCTCAAAAACAACAAACAATTCATAATTCCAATGCCCTCTTTATTCATTTACTTCACAGTTCTCTTAAAAAAACAATATGGGATGGGTTTGTGGGTCAGCTGTAGAGCACATGCCTAGCATGCATGAGGCCTAGGGTTTGACACCTCACATCACAAAACGAAAACAAAAACAAAACAGTATTGGGCTGAAATTGTGGCTCAGTGGTAGAGCACTTGCCTCACATGTATGAGACACTGGGTTTGATCCTCAGCATCACATAAAAATAAATAAATAAAATAAAGATAATGTGTCCATTAAAAAAAAAAAAACCCACAGTATTATTCTGTATAACTGCTCATCTTATTTTCTATTCAGCTCTGAGTGATTGCTTTCAGCAGATTCTACAGCTTCTATAGAAGATTCTAAAGTTTACTTTTAAGTAAGATTCCCTGGGTTCAAATCTGGGTCCAACCATTTGCTGGCTATGTGACCTCAAGTCACCTACCCTCTTTGTGCACAAACATATTATCTCAGCAGAGTTGTCTTAAACACTAAATGACATCACTCATGTAAAGTGTGATACCCAACTAGGCACATAGTGATTTTTTAATTTTATTTTCATACCAAAATCATGTCTAAAAAATTAAGAGTTGCTATCCAGTTTAAAGACTGTTCAAAAACTCTATAGAAGATTCTGAGGACAAGATAGTCTTTACATTTTGAGCAACATTCATTGGAATAAGAAGAAACCTGCTGAGGTGACTACTCTGATTTATCAATTTGTATGCTGGTTAGGAAATCAGTCACATCACTTACATTATCATAGAGATGTACAATCATGTTTTTATAGTCTTTTAGTATAACAAAAGAATTGAAATTAGATACCAGTCTTTCACAATTGGAAGGTTTTACATTTAAAAACTAGACTTGTAGATTTTCTTTAAAAACAGAAAAATTCAGATGATTTGAGCAGCATTTCCAAATGGTGATGATCAGTGGTTGACTGAGGGTGAGTGTCCACTGGAAGGCCATACACTCTCCAAGTTTACAGTTCCAGTGGCAATGAGGCCATATCCAGATTTCTACTGATCATCACCCTTGAGCCTTTTTGTCTTTTCCTACTGTGAAGAACATTCAGAAATTCCTCTTTCCAGACCAGCTCATTGATAGACATTACCTGCCTTACCAATATGGGCTGCTATAAATACATAGATATATCATACATTCTAAAGTAGAAGAAAGCTAAAAGTTCATCAATTTCCCTACAGTGGTCCAATAGCAGGTTTAAATGTAATACATTTATATTTTTTTTTTAAATATTTTTTTAGTTGTAGATGGACACACAGTATCCTTATTTACTTTTATGTGGTGCTGAGGATCGAATCCAGTGCCTCACATATGCCAGGCAAGCATTTTACCATTGAGCTACAGCTGCAGCCCCCATTTATATTTTTATATAATGTTTAAAAGATATAAAAATTGGGTTTGGAATAGAGTCAAACTCATATACTTACTCATAAATAGCTTTAGCATCTTCGGCACTTTTATCCTTAAACTCAAGAAGCTCCTGAAGACTCTGAATATACCTGAAATGCAAATCTGGGTTAGAGTTTTCTTTTTTCTTTTGGTACTGGGAATTGAACTCAGGGACACTAAACACCTGAGCCACATCCCAACCCTTTTTAAAAAATATTTTATTTAAAGACAGGGTCTCTCTATGGGCTAGGGATGTGGCTCAAGCGGTAGCGTGCTCGCCTGGCATGCGTGCAGCCCGGGTTCGATCCTCAGCACCACATACAAACAAAGATGTTGTGTCCGCTGAAAACTAAAATATAAATATTAAAAAAATTCTCTCTTTTTCTCTCTCTCTCTCTTTAAAAAAAAAAAAAAATTTAAAGACAGGGTCTCACTAAGTTGCTTAGGGCCTCACTAAGTTGCTTAGGGCCTTGCTAAGTTTCTGAGGCTAGCTTTGAACTCTCAATCCTCCTGCCTCTGCGTCCTGAGCCCCTGGGATTATAGGCATGTGCCACCACACCTGGCAGGGATTAAAGTTTTCTACATTCTGAAAGTTCAATATTGTGAAAATCAGCTTAAAAAACCTACTTTAAAATTTAAATTTTAAAATAAAAATTATAAAATTTTATAATAAAAATTATAAATAAAAAATAAAAAGGGATAGTGATATAGTTCAGTGGCAGAAAGCCCCTAGGTTCAACCCCTAGAAAGCCAAAATAAAAGGTCAAATTTCATTTTAAGATTTCCTATTTCAAGGTCTATATACTAAAATAGTTTTTAAATCTTTCAAACCCCACCGTGAATTACAGTATAAATACTGACTGTCCTGAAACTAAATCTGATATGCTAACTAACCATGTGATCTTGGGCAAATGGCTTGTTTAGTCTCAGTAAAAGGAGGAGGTTAGCTTACCTTGTTCTAACAATCTAACTTAAATGTTTGTATTTTAAAAGCTTAAGTTTAGATGCATATACCCAGTCAACAAATATTTGCTGAGAGCCTATAATCTACCATATTTCTTTTACCATGTGGCTTAGAGAGAACTAAACACAAATATGAAATCATGAAAATAAAGGTTGTCAATTTACCTCACAATTCAAGACAGCAAAACACCTGTTTATGAATGACCAAAATGAGAAAGGTCAAATAACTTCCTGAAGGTCATGCAGCCACAGTACAATGGCACTACAGGGCCAGTGCTAAAATTACCTCACAATCAGTGTTAAGTTCTACTTCAGCAGTTTATCTACAACTTCTGTAACTTAGCAGGCAACAAGGACAATGAAAGTATTTTTCAAATCTGTAAATCCATGTTGGTCTAGAAAACTGATCCTGAAAAGCAATAGGCTTTACTTGCTTTCCAAAATGCAGAACACCATTCTGAAGCTGCTATTCTGTTTTAACCCTTAATTTTCTCATCATTGGTAAGAAAAAGTATGTTCTTTAAGAGATATTTGAACACCTACCTCTTCTAAGACCAAATTTCAAAAAGTAGCATATGCTACTCTTTCTTTTTCTCATTCCCCAGAACTTCCCATCCTCCCACCTCTTGGTCCCTTTCCTCTACTGATCTCCCTTTGATTTTTTTTTTTTTATTTTTTATTTTTTAATTTTTTATTGTTGGCTGTTCAAAACATTACATAGTACTTGATATATCATATTTCACAATTTGATTCAAGTGGGTTATGAGCTCCCATTTTTACCCCATATACAGATTGCAGAATCACATCAGTTACACATCCATTGATTTACATATTGCCATACTAGTGTCTGTTGTATTCTGCTGCCTTTCCTATCCTCTACTATCCCCCCTCCCCTCCCCTCCCCTCCCCTCTTCTCTCTCTGCTCCCTCTACTGACATTCGTTTGTCCCCCTTGTATTATTTTTCCCCTTCCCCTCACTTCCTCTTGTATGTACTTTTGTATAACTCTGAGGGTCTCCTTCCATTTCCATGCAATTTCCCTTCTCTCTCCCTTTCCCTCCCACCTCTCATCCCTGTTTAATGTTAATCTTCTTCTCATGCTCTTCGACGCTACTCTGTTCTTAGTTACTCTCCTTATATCAAAGAAGACATTTGGCATTTGTTTTTTAGGGATTGGCTAGCTTCACTTAGCATAATCTGCTCTAATGCCATCCATTTCCCTGTAAATTCTATGATTTTGTCATTTTTTAATGCAGAGCCAGAGCAATTAGACAGACGAAAGAAATTAAAGGCATCAAAATAGGAAAAGAAGAACTTAAATTATCACTATTTGCAGATGACATGATTCTATACCTAGCAGACCCAAAAGGGTCTACAAAGAAACTATTAGAGCTAATAAATGAATTCAGCAAAGTGGCAGGATATAAAATCAACACGCATAAATCAAAGGCATTCCTGTATATCAGCGACAAATCCTCTGAAATGGAAATGAGGACAACCACTCCATTCACAATATCTTCAAAAAAAATAAAATACTTGGGAATCAACCTAACAAAAGAGGTGAAAGACTTATACAATGAAAACTACAGAACCCTAAAGAGAGAAATAGAAGAAGATCTTAGAAGATGGAAAAATATTCCCTTTGATTTTTAAGAGATCCACCACATCTTTTTTTCCCTAAGTTCCACACGAGAGAAACATATACCCTTGACCTCTGAGACTGACTTACTTTGCTTAACATGATGGCCCCTAGTTCCATCCAAAATCCTGCAAATGCCATGATTCATTTTTCTTTATGACTGAATAAAATTCCATTGTGTATATATCCCATATTTTCTTTATCCATTCATCCACTGATGGACACCTAGCCTGGTTCCATAGTTTGGCTATGGTGAATTGTGTTGCTCTGAACATGGTATGCATGTATCACTGTAGTAAGATGACTTTTAATTCTTCAGGATAAACACTAAGAAGTGGAACTGAGTTTGTAGTTCAGTTATAGAGCACTTGCTTAGCACATGTGAGGCACTGGGTTTAATCCTCAGTACCACATAAAAATAAATAAATAAAAATATTTTGTCCATCTAACACTAAAAAAAAAATTTTTTAAATACTAAGTAGTGGTATAGATAGGTCATATAATGGTTCTATGCCTAGTCTTTAAGGAACCTCCATAAAGGTAGAATATGCAACTTTTACAAAAGAATTTTTTTTAAATATTATTTATTTTTAGTTTTTCGGCAGACACAACATCTTTGTTTGTATGTGGTGCTGAGGATTGAACCTGGGCCGCACGCATGCCAGGCGATGCGCTACTGCTTGAGCCACATCCCCTACAAAAGAATTTTAAGAAACAGGAAAAACTTCCTTCAGAAAATTATATTTTCTCCTTCAATTCCATGATAATTTCTAAAACATTGCCTCTTACTTAAACCACATGTATTCCAACCATGATGGCTCAGGCCTATAATCCCAGAGACTCAGGAGGCTGAGGCAGGAGGATTGCAAGTTCAAGGCCAGCCTCAGCAACTTAGCAAGACCCTATCTCAAAATAAAACAATTAAAGGCCTAGACCTAGAGATGTAGTTCAGTGGCTCTGGGTTCAGTCTCTAGTACCAAAAATTAAAAAAATAAATAAATAAATATATATATATATATATATATATATAAATAAACACACATTTATAACTGTTCCATACTTGGACCAGATAACAACTGATGATCATATATGCAATAGTCCTACTTTTTTTTGCTCATTTTAAAAACTGATTCTGGATCAGAGTTTCACTCAAGCTGTAACTCCTACAAAAGGAAAATTAGGATTTCCATGAATCAATTGGGAAATGTCTTACAGTTAAACTTTTCCATTTAAGACTTAACTCTGGCCAGTGTATGTGTACTTTTTCTTTCCTTTTTAAAAATTTATAGTCCTTAAGAGCATAAATTTTTAAAATTAGTAACATTAACAACAAGGGCTACTGATAGGTGGCCACATAGAAATGTGTACCCTTAAGACCTTTACTATCATTTTTGGAAAGAAAAATCACAGTTTCTATACAATTTCAATAACTTCACTTTTAAAATGGAAGAATACGATCAGTACATGTTGTATGTACATATTGAAACATCACACTGAACCTCACTAACGTATATAATAAATACATGTTAATAAAAACCGAGTAAATTTTAACTTTTGTGATTTATAAAGATAAATGCAGTTTACATGCATACATCCCTTTAGCAAAGGCACCTTTACTTTATCAACCATATGCACCCTTTAATAGCTTTCATAATTCTGATGGCAGCAGGGTATAGTAGAGCCCAGTGAATCGGGGTTTGAATCCCAGCTCCACTATCTGTGGTATCCCCTTAGGCAAAAGACTTCACCTATACGTGACTCATCCTCACCGTGTAAAATGAAGTTAATAACTACCAAGCAGGGTCACTGAAGAAAATGAAGGTAATGTACATAAGTATCCAGCCAACAACAAGTGGTAGATATTTGTCTTATATTAGATTATAACATCCCTGCATATTTAATAACATAAATCTTAATTTGGTATCTGTATTTCTGTGCACATCTGACTGGTTTTCTCAAAACCAAGGCATGATAAAGCCCAGAATTCAGATGACAACCCTAGATATATAACTCTCCACCCCACCCTACCCCCCAAAAGCAAAAGGGAACTACTGCTACCACCATAAGATTCCACTGAAAAGTAAAAAAGCATTTGGTTTAACCTTGAGTAAAGTCCATGATTCCATCAAAATTACAAACACAAAATGGGAAGGTTACCAGCTTTGAACCAATTGAACGGATGGCGTCCTGAGAAGATTATCTGGAAGAAGACTTATTTCTTTCATTATATTTGCCAGTCTCACAGGTAACTCTTGCCGCAGAAACATAAATGAGGTCTTTTCACAAGCATTCACCGATCCTGAAAATAAACACAGAAGGAAAAACAGTTAAGTAAAAACCTAAGGCACTAGAAGTCAAAAAGTAGGGAGAAATGCAGGGGAGTTACCTGGTCAGGCCAGAGTGGAAGAATCACAGAAATCAAAACCACCAATGCCTGTTCAGCAACCATTTTCAAGCAAGACCTAGCCAATTGTGTAATTCATGGAAAGCCACCTGCACCTCCTCTATCTCCATTCCTATATCAGAATGCTAAGCTGGATAAAAAAAAAAAAAAAATGTCCTTTGGCAAGTTGCTTCACTTAAAAGTTAAGCCAAAAGGTCATATTATTTCAGCAATACATTTTTAATTAATTGAATCTTGCTGCTTTAGCAAAGGCACCTTTACTTTATCAACAGCAGAAACTATGGTATTACAGGAAAACAACCTGTGTAATAGTGGTATACTTGCAAACAAGGTCAAATTACCCTATTCACCACACTATTGTCATTTTAAAGTAAAAGTGAGAGTGATGGTGTGTTTTGAGCCAAAACAAACAAAAAACCCTCAAAGAAACAAAACAAAGAAACCACCACTACCTGCCACCATAAACCACTGTCTTAAGATAAGCTGGCAGCCATACTCTTATCTTTCAAGCCCACTAGCTATATTAGTGACCTCACAGCACTTACAACAATGAAGATAACTTTTTCTACTCAAAACTTTTGGACTTTTCAAAACAGTCTATGTTGAGTTTTCCCTTTTCCCCTTATGGCCCCCAGATGAGAAGTCAAAGTCAAATGCCTAATTTCCATTCCTTCTGCAATCTGTTGCACACATTCCAGACAACCTGGATGAAAAGTGGTAAACTCCACAGTCTCCTGCACTCCTGTACTTTACACATGCTCAAGATTCATTGGCTACTTATGCAATGAATGTGCTGTTGGTGGAAACAGTCTTAAGCCACTGGCAAGGAAAACATTCTAAAGAAACACTGGGCCAGTTATAACTTGCTTTCCCTATATTCATGCCAATTCTATGCAATCATCGTATGATTGTACTTACAATCACTCTACATATTTCGAAAGCTATTCCCGGAGGTGCCTGCACTCAGGACTCTCGCCCGAACCTGGCTCCCCCATAGGGGCCTGGTCCCGAGAGCGCACCTGCACACGTGCACAGAAAGAAGGGACGTCATTCTGCCTACCACCCTTCTGATTTGTTTTCAACAGCACAGAGTAAAAAAGCTACACGCCCCCAGGTATTTACCCGGCCTGCTAGCACCAGCACCCTCAAGAGAGGAAGGAAGAACATGTGGGAGGAGGGGGGGGGGGGGCGACTGAGGAGAAGGGGGAGCAGAGGTAGCCGCCCCCGGTCTCAGCTCCGCGCCCGGAGCCGCACAAAGGCCCGAGGTCCGGGCCGCGCTCACCGAAGTCCAGGAACTGCTTCATGGAAAGCGGCGACGGCGAGAAGCGCGCGTAGAAGTCCACTTGGCCCGGAACGCCGCGTTCCGACGCCGGGCCGGAGCCCGAATCCGAGGCGAGGCTGCGGCTGGCGCTGGGGCCGTAGGCGCGTAGCCCCGGGCCCGGGCCGGCCGAGGCGGCTACCCGCACCAGCCGCGCCAGCCTCATGCCGAGCCCAGCCGGAGGAGCCGGAGCCCCCGGCGCTAGCTCGCAGCTCCGCGCTGCAGCCAGGCGCTACGTGAGGGACGTGGCGGGCCGCGGGGGCGGGGAGCGGCTGTCACCGCTGGGGCCACCGCCCCCTTGCGGTAGCCCCGCCCCTAAATGGGCGGGGCCAGATGGGAGGCGGTGCTAGGGGAGCACGCGAGTCGCCGGGCGCCGGAACCCCGGAGCAGACTCGGGCTGGCGGGGTAGGGCGGGGGACACCCGACGAGCTCCTGGGCAGGCAGAGAGTGGCCGTTGGCACCCTGGGTCGTCTTGCCCGGCGCTCTGTGTGGCGCGCCTCCTTCCCACGCCCTTTCGTAACAACTTTCACCTTCCGGCTTCCTTTTCCAGTTCTCTGTCAAAAGGTTCTAGGCTCTGCAGGGTCGGGCTGGGAGCCCCTTCCACAAATACTCCTCTACAAAGTCCCACATTTACCATTTTTATTTATTTGTTTATTTATTTTTGTAGTGCCTGGGATTGAACTCAGCCTCGCTTATGTTAGGCATGCACTTTACTACCACATCCCTCAACCAAGCCCCACATTTTACAGGTGACGGGGAAGCACCCTTGCCAAACAGTGGTACCTAAATACGAACGATGGACACTTGCGCGCGTGCGTGTGTGTGTGTGTGTGTGTGTGTGTGTAAGGGGGTGTCCCTAAATAACTTTACAGCGACTGCCGTCCCAAGAAAAAAAGTACTGGCAGCCTGACTGGAAGAGCAGAGCTCTCTGCACGCGTTTTCTGCACGGTCAGCAGTGTATTTAAAGCGTCCTCTTGACTGTCTTCTTAGTGTCAAAGCATGGCTGCTCCACCCTTTCCAGGTTTCTAAATAGTAAACGTCGGACTAAACAATTTATAATATTAGTTTATAGAGCTGCAAAGGATGCAATTACAAATAAGAAGCACTTTTCTGTCCTCTCTCCACTGCTGCTGCACCGTATGACCACCCCAGCTAGGTATGTCTCAGGTACAGCAAAATGACTTTACCATTGGCATGAAGTTTATCAGTTAAATAGAATTTATATGTCTATCCCCAGCAGTTACTAGTACAGAATAACATTTCATTTCTCCATGGTGGTCAGGTCTTGGATTGTGTAAAAATAGGAGAAATGAGATGAGAGATTATGTTCAGCACAAAGGGGAACATTGACTACCTGGAAACAAATGTAGTGATTGGGCTTCTAGTGGAGGAAATGTTAAGTTTTTCTTCAAGCCTCATGAGCCCTTTCAGTTAGAATGGACGCCTGAAACAAGAGACAGATGAATAAGAGAAAGACAGTTGTTTATTAACATGTATATTTCATGTATACATGGGAGATATCCAGAGAAAAATTCTCCAAAAGTGACCTTGAATTCCAGCTTATAGAGCCTCTTCAACAAAGGAGTAAATTTTTAGAGAGTGTCAAGATGTAGGAAGAGGACTTTAAGTCTCCTTTATAAATGGAAATTTCCTTTACTGAAGAACAACTTGTGCCCTGTTTTTATAGCTTTCCCTGTGTCTGCTGGCTTTTCAGTGGCCTTTAGCTCAAAATAATGCATATGCCAAAAGAGGCATATTTGGGGGTAGTATATTCTGGCACCTTTCAACACCATATCTTCAAATGTCAAAGAGCCTGCTCCATGAAAAAGGATTAGGTTAGGTTTGTTCTGGGTCAGCCAGACAGCAGATGGAAGACCAGTGGGTGGATACTGTAGAGAGACAGATCTGACTGAACATGGAAAAACTGGCAATGGTCGCAGCTATTTGACAGTGAAATGGGCAGTCTTAAGAGAAAGAAAGTGACCTTGTCAATGCCCGTTAGCCAAGAGTCTGGACAAGAGCTTTATAAGGATGATACAGGGAGGATTATAGGGAATCAGGGTGATGTAATTGTTAGGTAGGAATTCAGGGTCACCAAGATGATGGAGGCAGGGTATAAGAAAAAGGCCGTTAGAGGACAAGACAGGGAGATGAGTCATCATGTCCCTGTTTATAGTGTCCCATTACCATGACAATTTTCGCCACTGGGGACTCATCACCCATGATAACTCCTACCATAGGTGTGATATTCTAAAATAACCAGTGGGAGCAAGTGGGATAAGTTTTTCAATCAGAGCCACATAGGGAAGAGAATGCCTCACAGCTCAGCATATAAAACATGAATTTCCAGATATGAGGCCCTCAAGCCTCTCTCTATCTCTTGCTTGGCCCACTCTGCTCTATCTTAGGAAATGCTACTTTCACCTTCAGTATCAATAAATCTGTACCTTACCTGTTACTTCTAGGTATCTTGATCAATTCTTAGTTCAGGACATTGGACCCCAGCTGGATACCCAATAATAACATAATGAAAAGAGCCTGGGTTCTGGTTTTAAATTTTGACTCTGGCTTGTGCTGGCTAGGTGCCCTTGTGTGAGTTTCTTAACCCCTCGACTTCAGTCTATTTACCTAAAAAATAAAATAAGTATGTCTATCTTACTGGGTCACTGTGATATAACAATGTTAGCACAAATATTTAACAAATGGCATCTATTTTTATCATTATTACTGTTTTTGATTATTGCCTTATTAGGATTTTACAAGAATCACTCATATACATGTTTTGCTTAAAGCATACTTTACCAAAGCTCTGGGAGAAAACAATTTAAAGTTTAATATTAGACATCCTTAAAATAGCCCTTCAACCATTTCCATTACTTCAACCTCTCACATTGCCTTCTTCTTTCTTTTTTCTTTCCTTCTAGATCATTCCCAGAGCTCTGGATTCTTTTTACTCTCCCAGGCACAGTATTATCCAGTTCTTCTCAATCCCTATCTGCAACTTGGTTGCTTTCCACTTGAGCATTCAAGGTACCCAGCTGAATATTAACCTGCATGGAAGCACCAAGGCCCAGCAGAAGCCATAAAAGTTATTTTACCAAGGTTCTTCCAGAATATAATCACCTGTTTTATAGTATTTTTTCTTTCCTCCAAAGTGTATTCTCTGAGCTTCCACCAGATAGAGAAAGATTATATAAGAGCACAAATAAGTGGTATGTCAAATCCCCCCGCCCCCCACCCACACGCAACCACCATTGACTTTTTGCTTCTTTAGGGAAAAGTTTAAGGTCCAGAGCTGGAGAGAGACTTAAGGGACTCAACTAAGAGGCTATATATTACTTACCTATGTAGATATAAATTTACAACTGTAACAGTGATCCACTTTATGCTTTGAATGTAACCCTTGCTGCTCTGCCACTGCAATTTATTTTTTTTAATTATTTTTTTAATAATAACATTATTGTATATTTTAGATCTTTATTTCATTTATTTATATTTTTTATATGGTGCTGAGGATGAACCCAGTGCCTCACAATGCTAGGCAAGAGCTCTACCACTGACCTACAACCACTGCAATTTATTTTTAAAGTGGAAATGTTTCTTTCTCTTCCTCTCTCCCTGCTCCTCCCTAATCTCTCTCTCTCCCTAATCTCAGGGGGAAACAGGATTACCTTTCTTCCCCATCCTAGGCAGAGTTATCTGTCTCTGAGTACACACCCACCATAGGAATCAAGTAATCCAGACTTTGGGGATGTACAGAAGATCTCAGAAATGACTATCTTCAAAATCAACAAGTGAATTATAACTCCAACAAAGAACATGTGGAATGTAGCCTTTGAATCACCTCTTTAAAAGCCCCCTGTTCCTGCTGATGGGCAGAATCACAGTCTTTGGGACAGGAGTCCCTGTGTTTCTCTTTTGCTAGCAAAGCAATAAAATTTTTTCCTTTTTCTCAAAACAGTGTCCTTGTAATTGCATTGGCATCGGGAACAAGGACCAAGATTTCAGCAATATAACCATACTCTCAGACTTCTTAAGATTTTTTTTTTTAGCTAGCCAGACTGTCTAAATTCACTGAGAATTTGTGATCCATATTGGGCCGATTTGACTCAGAAGAGGTGGGGTGGGGATGGGGATGGAAACAAGCTAGGCTGTATTGCCCTGTCTCTATTACATGCTGGCTTTGTGGGGTTCAGAGAACAAAAAGAGAGAAGAGTCATATTTATTCCCCTGGACTCTTCCTGCTAGGCCATGGTTTGTGTTCCTCTGTGTGGCTCCAGTTCCCTCCCCATGCCCAATGAGCATGTAGTAGAAGTTTTCCTCTATTGCTAACGGGGTGCTTCACCAGCCCCAGCTGCTTAACTCAACCTACATCCCTATAAATAGTTCTTTCATCAAACACTCTTCAGTTTCCCTTTTGAGTGTGCTAATATTTCCTGCCTCGACTTCTGTTTGATACACTAGAAAGATAATTTTCAAAACAAAGGTAAAATCAAGTCTCATGAAGCTATAAAATGAACACCTGCCAAAATTTTTATTTAACACATTAATTTAATGAGAGAACCAGGAAAAAAAAAGGTACAATCAGTTCAAAGGAGAAGTCAAACAGTAGCAATACAGAAAGGAATTTGCAAAGGCTACAAAACTGACTTTTCCCTAGGGAATCAAGGAGGGTGGTCGCTCTATCTGGCAGATTTATTTGCATTGTTATCAGTTATCTCCAATTTACATAGTTATAAAACTGAAATAGTTATAAACCCTGGAAAGTTTTGCTTTAAGCAATGTTTAGCATTCCACCAAAGGTCGGTTTATTCCTATATACATTTGACTGCTTTCTTGAAGGGGTACAGTCATTCAAGTCATTACCAGTGCCCATGATGTGGAGGGATTTGTTTTAGGGGAAACACAGGTTTTATTTGGAATAAGTACTTTGATATGCTGCTGGAGTGGAAGGAGCAATCCCAGAGGAAGGCTCACAAAGAGCTCTGCAGGAAGCCAGAGGAGGAATTCACTTTGTAGAGCAAAGGGGAGGGAGAGGGGGCAGATTGCTAAGGCTGGTTCAAGCAGTGAGCACTATTTGTAACGCCCACATTTAGTGGTTTACTAAAAAAAAAATGTAAAACCTTGTGGAGACTGAATTCCTTGTGCCTTTGTGCAAAGTGGAGGAAAAGGCAGACTTTTTTTTTCC